GCCCTACTGCGGAACCACATTTCCAAATCAAGTACAGGATCAGAATAAACTTTTATTTTTTTATATTATTTTAAAATTTGTTTATTTTTTGAACACGATAAAAGTCTAAAAGGAGCAATGTCACATGTTTAAATTGTGCAAACAAAATATAAATAAATAACATAAATGGAGAAACAACAGTCACTGACACTTTTCACCAACAGGGGGCGCAAACCAACAGTCTGAGTGCAGCGGGATAAACACTGGAAAAATCCACACACACTTCCTACTACACACTAAGATCATGCAGGTGAGTTGAACGGGGAAGCCGATGGGACACACATACCATGCGCTGACATGCAGTGTGACAGTGGGTGTGGCCTAACCATCATAAGAATCCATCAGAGGCAAGGAGGCCTGCCTCTCCCCATACATCTCTCCCTGAGAAACAAATAAGGAAAATGAAGGCATAGAGAGAAATTTAAAAGATATTWAAAAAAAAACCCGGAGGAGGGAGAGAGTTATAAGAAGTTGACAGAAATATATATTATTATTAAAAAAAGTTGCAGCGGTTATAAGTTAGTGAGGAATAAAAAGAGGAGAAGGGGAAAGGGGAGTTACAAGTCATTAGTTTATTGTTAGTTCATGTTTCAGGTAAATAAAAAGGACAGCTTTGAGATCGTGTGCAAGATACAGACATGCAACAACATGCTGCCTGTAGTTGTGTGAACACTCACACAAAAACATTCCTGAAGCTCTCATTCTGCGCATATTGCACACAAGTTTAACGTATCTATGAATTTACACGGCTTTTCAATGGAAATGCAAAACCATTTACAAGATTTCAGCTTTTTGACTAAACGYTGACAGTTAGGTGGAAATATGTCAGATGTGATGCAGCATCGTGGCTCGTTTCATCAGACCAACAGTCCTAAACCCTGAAATATTCACTTGTGACAGAAAGGTTCCAGATAAACTGCCTAGAATACGATCACCGTCAATTCATTAACCTGTGCTGGGTTTAGGAGGGAGTATTTTGCATTTTTGGAGTTATTTCTTTGTAGAAKGCAGATGTTTACATTTTTAAGTGCAGTCATGCAGGTTTGCGGGGGAGGTAAAGGTGTGGCAGGTCTACCTGAGCCGCATCTTTGTCAGCAGGTTCGAGTGTGTTATCCAGCGTGTTCCGTCTTCCTCTCGGATCCAGTGTGGAGTAGGCATCTGAAACAACACATAGAAGCAGATGTAATGTGTATGTTTGCCATGGTGGCCATAATGCAACTGGTTTCTCTGTACTTCTTGTACAGGTCATGCCTCATACATCAGTTTCATCCATACTAGGGGTGTCCCGATACCGATACCAGTATCGGTATCGGG